ATAGTGCTTTATGCGTGAGCAATATCAAAATAATTTGTGAGGAAACCCTACCCCAAGGGCCCTTAGTCTGTGTTGTTCACAGCTGCCTAATCCACTGCTCAGAACATCATAGGTATTCAGTAACTATTTGCAGAAGGAAGGAAGGGAGGGAAGAAGCATTCAGTAAATCAAAGAACTTTAGAATTGTTTTAGTCTAGTACATAGCTGTTGAAATACAATTTAAGGTCTAACGTCTTTGGAGAGAGGAATCCATGGAAAGCCAAAGGGAGGCACAGAGAAGGTCGAAGAGGAAGGTAGAAAAGGAGGTCCCGGAGTCATAGTTCATAATTTAACAAAACAGATCCTAGAGGCCGAATTCAAGCGCACTTTGCCAAAAGACTCCTCCACTTGTATGTCAAATAAATTTTTACTAGAAGTCGTTCTTAGTTTTGTAAGGAGAACTTTCAGATTCGTCATAGGCATCAGTGTGGAGCTGTTTTAAAAAGTTTCCGCAGTAATATTTTAGAAACTCTAACTACAAAGGAAACATGTAAATGTCCATTTTGCATTTCTGAAAACAGGCGCCGCCTCTGAGCAATGTGCCAGGAGCGTGGGAACAAAAAGGAAACCAGTAAAACAGAACCTATAACTTAATTACATTCATGTCAGTTTTCTGCACAAACAAGATTTGATGTCACATAAAACACCTCTAACAAATAAAATGAAACAGGGACGTTGCTTTCCTTCTTCCTGAAATAAAAGAAAATTAAAAATCCCAGCTAGTTGAGGGAAATTCATACTGTCTATGCAAAAAATTGTGTGTGTGTGTGTGTGTGTGTGTGTGTGTGTGTGTGTGAAACAGACAGACGCAGAGATACAGAGAGAGTCAAACACAAAGACAGAGATTTTCTCTGGTCTCTCAGTTGATAGCCCAACAAAGCAGCCAATATTTGTGGCCTTCAAAATAACATCCCTTACAGTAAGAAGATGTTTATCTATAAACTATAGATTAAATATTCTTTTTCAGTGATTATAAATCCCAATGAAACAAACATTAAATTTAGTTACAATTTATTGATTGCTTTAGACTTTTTCCCAGTAAAAGCCACTCCCTCTTTGTCTGTTATGTCAGAAATGCTTACAGAGTAAGAACCGAAACATGAATTTAAATGTAGAGAAAAGAATGCTCGTTCTAGCAAGAGGCCGCACTCCTCAACAGGTTGCCAGCGTTTGATATGTTGCTGGGGCATTTATCTGGGGAGCCATTTGTTTTGCACTGTGCTCATGTAGGACGTTTCATTCCAGCTATCTATGAGCCTTCCTGCGAAGCGTACAAACACCTAGGCCAGACGTCAAATTACTACTGGATAGATCCTGATGGCAGTGGACCACTGGGGCCTCTGAAAGTTTACTGCAACATGACAGGTAACTGTGCCATGTTTACATTTCATGAACGTTGCTTTGCTATATGTTGAAAATAAGTGGTATCACTGAAGTTTGTTTCTTCTGGGCTGTGTTTTTATCACAACACATAATGAGCTAGATATTACCAGATTTGTTAGGTAAATGGTAAAATGCGTTTCTAAAGCAATTATACCTTCCAACACTGTATCTTTTAGAAAATCTTCCTTCAGACTAGAACAATTAAAAATAAACATTTAAAATATCAGTATGTAGGGGGAAACCGCAGAGAGCGAAACAGTGAGGTCGAAGTCCACAGAAAGAACTGGCCCATGAAACAGCCTGGACCAAGGGGACTGAGCATCACTACCCCGCATCCAAGCATCACTGCCCGTGGCAGAGGGCGCTCGCACACTACTCTGGACCTTCTCCTGCTCCCCTGATTACAGAAGGAACCCTTCTGAACGAGAATATTTGTCTTCTGTCACTCAAGGTAGTTATGAACATCAGTGCATCAGGGGCCCCTAAAGGCCAGCAGGCACCACCTGGCCTTGCGCCACCTCTCACCCCTTTCTTCATCTGGAAAGAACATGAACTAGACATCATTCAGATAGCATGGTACGTACCACAAAGCTTGACTCGGGCTATTCCATTTCTAAGAGATGTATGTTGAGGAAGGGGAGGGAATGACAGCATGAGACAGTCTACAAAGTCTTCACATATCACTCTGTGTCTCAAGAAATTGTACATACGCCTTATTATATGCCGTTTCTATTAAACATTAGAGCTGTCCCACTTCTCAGTGACCCAAATGTGATTCAGTATTTATCACAGTTGACTATATCACACATTTCAAAACATGGGAGCAACACATCTTCTTTGGGAAAGAAGCAATGTCTTGGCAGGGATTGGTCTCTTTCCTTCTTCCTATTAAGATGGTGTGTAATGCAGGAGAGTTTGACACTTGTATAGACATAGTGAAATTTTTAAGAAAAGGAACCTCACTGGCAGCTCATCTCTGATGTTAATTTGGGTAGAAACTAAAAAGAATAGAGGATGTTTGGGTTAGAGATATAAATGTGCTAATTGTTGGCATATAAATATATGAGAAATGATAACATCACTTAGGGGAAGGGCATCTCAGGAATAAGCTCATAGGAACTCGATAAAGATCAGGTTTCCGGTGATGAAATAGTCTGTGAGTGTGTAGGAGAATGTGACTAAGAGTAACGGGGAGAAGTCTCTAAGAGCATTTGGGAGAATAGTGAGTCATCCATGTGGAAGCTGAAGTGACTTCTTGGGTCCGAGAGAATGATAGAGATTTGGAGGATGGAGAGTGACTGTGAACCGATGTAGACGCACACAACGTGAGGCAGTGAGCCAGGAGCTGGGCAGGTCGCAGCGGGCTGGGTGCAGGGAATGTGGCATGCCACAAGTGACGGACCTCCCAAAGGACCTGCTCGGGCAACTTTGCGGAACCACGGAATGGGCAGTTAACCTAAACTCAGGGACGAGCAAAATCTTCCATGAGCTGAGTCTTGAAGAACAAGTTGGTGTTACGGGGCCCAGAAATGGGGAGAAGAAAAAATAGATCAACTTATGAAATGCTTTGTGTTGGATGAAAAGCGGTTGAAACTTGATTCTGAGGAAAAGGCAAGCAGTTGATGATATTGTATTTTTAAAGCATGACTTCGGTGGCAGTGAGTAGGGTTCTCCAGAGGAGGCCCAGATGTGGAGCAGGGCGACAAGTTAGACAGCCCCCGTTGTTGTAGTCCAGGTGTTGAAACAGATTCAGAGCGGCGGCCATCAGCTAAGGAGAGGCACGATCTAACGGATACTGAAAAAACTGAGTTGGCCAGACCGTGGCTGGTGAGATAGGAGTCGAAAAGCTTGGCAGGTTTCTGCCGCAGATGACCCGTGCGGTGGGCACCGAAGGGCAGGGGCACATCGGGACAGGACAGGACTTGGCTCTGTTGCCTCCAGGGCCTGGAATTCAGCCTAGTGGAGCCGCACTGCGGGCACGTACTCTGCAAATTCCCTGTGGTATCTGAGCACATCAGTTAATCCCTCTCTCTCAGTTGCCTTGAAGTAAAATAAAGAGTAGAAATTGGAATGAGTTGATGATTTCTATGCTGCCTTCCATTAAAAAGAAAAAGGAAAAATTCTATTATTACCATGAAACATGAAAGAAAACTACCACTACTTACAGTCAAATAATTTAGAGACGAAATCCTCTTGCCTCGAAGCAGCTTGAATTTACTCGTTTCTTGGCCAAGTTTGACATAAATTGGCAGTTTTCACTTTTTTTCATAAGGCAGTTCCTCTACTGTGCAATTCTTTGGGCTGTCTACAATTCAGTGCTGCATCGCTCGTAATTTAGGGGGGTTCCCTGAATGACAGAGCGTCTGAGGGACTGTACAGTTGACACTGAGGAAAGGCGATATTCATTGGGTCCGTTAGAGAAGAATTCATCATTCTGTGCAAGTCAAAGCCTGGTTTCCTTTTTCAGACCGTAGGGCACATTATGAAGTGTGGTTGTGGTTCTCCTTGCCTTCTTTCTTCGTTTTTATCATCTCCTTGAAAATTTGGTATTAAAAACATAATTTTTATGAATGTATACTATCATGTATTTCTAATATTTACCTGTTTTATTTATACATATTTCTAACATTTCAACTTCTTGTTTCTAGTTCCTTAAGATATTTACCAATATTTTCTATAAACCTTGAACTTTTATATTTAAAGCTTCATGTAATTCTTTCTGCCCAATGATTAATAACAACAGTAAATGAAGCTAGATCCAGCCATTATCTTTGGAAATTTATTGCTTATCCCTAAATCAAAAACAATGTTTTTCTTAATATTCTATACTCTAATTTATGTCCTTTATAACTCTCTTTGCATTCATATTTAATTTTTAAAATTTAAGTAATCATTTGTGCTGCACCATGTGAAATTTCAAGTCCAAATAAGGAACACCTCCTGCATTCTTTCTAGCACGAGTTTTGTAGTTTTATCAAAAAGCCATTAAGCTTGTTTACATAATTTGTGCTTTATAAAGCCCTGGGATTTAGCTGATCAAATTCTATTATCCTCTGTAATGGTAAAAGCTATTCATGCCTTTTTAATCTAATATTCATAGAGAGCGCGTTACTCAAGTTCCTAAGCGCTTGCACTCGGTAATGTTTTATTTATTGGTAGGCTTCTCAGAAGTTTCAGTCGTGCGGTGGTGGCCACTGGAGCGGTGCACTTGCGTTCTAGGGGATGGGATCATGGACCTACCTGCCCCACTCCTCCCCTCAGCAAAGCAAAGCAAAGCAGTTTCTTCTCTAGCATATTCATTTTCTTAGCAGCTTACAGTAACACCTGTTTATTACCTCACAGTGTTTTGGGGTCACGAGTTTGTCACTGGTTAGTTGCTCAACTGCTCAGGGTCTCACAGGCTGAAATGAAGGGGTCAGCAGGGCTGCGATTGCGTCTGAGGCCTGGGTTCCTCCTCCACGGTCATCCGGGTTGTTGACAGCTTTCAGTTCCTTGTGATTTGAAGACTATAGGCTCCACTTTGTGGCTGGGTATTACCTGTGGATTGCTGCCAGTTCCTAGAGGGTGCTCCCAGTGAGATGCAGTAAGAGGACCTCTCTGACGTCTAGACTGTCTTTCCAGGGCTCACCTGATTAGGCCATGCCCACCCAGGATAATTACCTGTTCGACTGACTCAAGTCAACTGATCAGGAACCTTATATCTGCAAAATCTCTTTACCTCTATCACATAGAGTAACGTATTCACGGGAGTGATGTCTCATCCACTTTTAGGCAGTAGGGAGCAGAGGGTGGACACCAGGTGGAAGGAATATTGGGGGCTGTCTTTCTGTTCTGCTTACTGCACCAATTTATGTGCCTCTGCAAATTACATATAATTCCACCTACATTTATTTTTTCCTTTTGATAACAGTGCCACATTTAGTTTTAAAATAATTAAGCTTTATTATATTTGCCTTATAATTTTTAACATATTCTTTAATTTAGGAACTTTTTAAAATGTAATTAGGCAAAGATAAACATTGCTTATTTACCATCTATAAATAAGAATTACTAACATGTTAGGAAATGTGTGATAAAGATGTTATATTTTATACTTGTAGCCACAAATATATAAATATATTGTCATAATATATATATGTAGTTGAGGGCAAACTAAATGTCAAGCACTGTTGTCAGTAGATTAGATACATTAACTCATCCAATAATTCACAATAACTCCATGAGATAGGTAATATTGTTCTTATTTCCTTTTTTTTTTTTTTTTTTGGAAAAAAAAACTAAAGCTTAGAGAAATTAAATCCTAGTTCACATACCTTGTAAGTTATGGAGATTTACTTATTGGACAGGCTTCATAGTTACTATGTGTGTATACATGTATATATATTCATGTGTGTGCATGTGTGTGTGTGCAAACGTGTGCATGTGTGTTCATCTGCATAGTCACATGTGCATACAAACAGTGCTTGTCATTTTGGATTCTGTAGTATGATTTGTAATATGATTCCTAAAATGAGCATATCTTATTCATATCTTTTTATTATCATCAAAACTTCCTTACATACTCTGAATTCATTATCTGTGTTTTGGACATTTTTGCTATAAACTATTTACTTGTTAATTGTCCAACTAATGCCTTGGGGTTTTTAATCGGAGAATACATTTGAAATCAAATCAGTATGTAAACCATTAGGCAGTTATTACCAATTTTAGCTATTAATTTAACTACAAGTATTTTCTCTAATATAATTTTCTGTGAGCTTTGTAGAATAACTTGTATAATTCCCATGTACCTAGGTTAATCATCTCTTAGGGTTTGCACCCAATTTTTAGGCTAATTTAAATTCTGTCTCCAATATCTACTTACTCTTTCAGTGTAAAATCTTAAACTGAATCTAACAGAATCTGGTTTGAGACTATAACAAGATTGAAAGGAATTATATTAGGTATCATCCGTAATATTTAATTTGATGATTCTTCGCTGT